TGCTCCCATGGAAGCTGCAAGGAAATTGTACACTCTCTATTTCATGTGTGATTCATACCTTGGCTGTGACCAGGAGTATAACTTCACTGTTAATGTAAAGGAAGCAGCTGGACCACATGAAAACAACAAAGTTTTTACAACAAAATTTCAGCTCGAGCTCATCTCTAAGTCCAAGTCAACTAGAATTGAAACAAAAATAGCATAAAACAATCCCCAACAACAAAGTTGGTTAATTATTATGCAAAAAATCTCCTTAATGCTCTGCTATATTTGACTTTTTCCTTGATAATTTAAAATTTCATGTGAATTCGAATATTTTAACAAAATGATATCTGATTTTAACAAAAAGTAAAAATACATTTGTATTTTTGTGTCAACGGTTACATATAATTTTCCTGTAAAACTCTATATTCGTACACGAATTTTCGTGTCAGTGTATTAAGTTTAATACAGTACATAAAACTAATGAAATTAGGCAGTTCCATCAAAGAAAAAGAAAAAAGGGATTTCTTCATATGATTTTTATCGTCAATCTCCATAGACCTTGCACTCTTCAGTCTCAGGATTCACCTGGCAGAAAAATTCCAAAGGATCTTTCTTTTCTATTTCAAGTATAAGCTTGAGATCAGCCTTGGCTTGGCTTACCGCTTCAACCTCATCCCAAGCAACCTTGCATTCATCAGAAGTCTCATCTCCTTCACAAACTTCTTGGCTTCTGTCACTTTTTTCTCAATCATCTCAGTTAGCTGCTTCTCCCTCATCTGAGTCCCTTTATACTTGGCTGCTGCTCCCATAGCTTTTACTGTCATTCTGGACACCCTTTTCTCACCCTTGTTATTACAATGAAAACAAGCTGACATCCTCGGATTTGGACAAAAATTTGATGTTGGGATCTTTACCAGAGTTCCTGTCAATGAGTGAAACCTTAGAGTTGCCATGGTTGATACCTGGTTAACAATTTTTTTCTTCTTAGTTGGTAATAAGAGAGTTTTTGGGGTGGCTTCGATCAAGAAATAGGGGTCTTTGTCTGTGAAAGAGGGGCTATCAACAAACTATTTTGGACGAATAGGGATAAGCCCAAGGCAGGTGACGAATGGGATTTGTTTGCCTTGTCTTGGTTTTTTCAACTGGTAAAGTCATACCCATGTATCACACAACTTCATACACGTTTTAAAGAGAAACCAGTTTATGTTGTTGTGGTGGGGTACGACCAAGAGATTTAAGTAGGTCTATAATTTTATGATAATAAAATGATACGAAAAAAAAATGATATACCAAAAAAAAATGATAAGGAATAAAATTTTAATAAAAATTATATATAATTTAAAAAAAAATTAAAAATATATTTATTTATTTCGTATTAATGCATGCAAAATATAAAAATTATTTTTATAATTCTTGTCGACACTTTAAATACGAATTATAAATTTTAATTTTTATTTATATATAATTTTTTACTAGATTTTTTATATTATATTTAAAATGATCAAATCTAGTTTAAAGTTCATGCTCGATCGCATATCCATTTAATCATAAATAAGCTACATAACATGTTAAATGGACACATGAAAGCATACAATTATGCAAACCTCAATAATTCATTGCTTGTTCTGATTCCAAAATGTTTAATCAATGTTTGTAAAGGTGATGTAAATGTAAATTGTGTTGCAAGCTGAGCATTGTAGTGATGCTGCCGTCATTTATATTTAATTGATGCAAATGATATTGAGAAGAAGAAACTTGCATCCAACTTGTTAAATATTATTTATTTTAATCTAAAAATTTTAAGTTTTTATCTCATAAAAAATATTTTATAACTATAATTTGATGAAAGCACTATGATTTGATAAAACTGATGCAGTTCTTTCATTTTATATAAATCATGTTTTTTTCCTCAAGGTTTACGTTCTTTGTTGATAAATTTTTTGTTAATTAAGAAGTAACAGAAAAAAGTTCAAACTTACTTTTTTTTTTTTTTACAAAGGAAGTTTCAATCTGAGAACAAATAAATAAGTTGTAAGTACTGAAATTTAAATATCAAATCTAGTAAATATTATTTTTTAAAAATAATTTTAAAAATTAATTAAATTAAATATGCGATAAATGCGTTGTTCTATTTGTTTGATTAATTTGCTTTAACAAAGCCAACAGATACAGTCCATTCATACTACCCAAATTTGTTCTTTACAGGAAAGCCATATGCTTGTTCTACAAATCCATTTATACTTGTTATCAATTTACCTGCATGTCTTGATCTAATTAAGCTTCCTGCAATTTCAATAATGCTCAAACAATAAAGAAGTTGAGGGATGTTTGTAAGAAATTTCTTACACAATCAATGAGAAGACCTAAAGTAATCTGTTCTTGATATTTAATTTTATATGAATCAACTGAATTAAATTTTGAGTTTTTTTATCAAGATCTTTTGATTCTATTTATCATCTATTTTTTTCCAAATTACAGGAGGAGTTGAAGGAAGATGACTTACCAATCCGAAGTTTTGGAACTGTCCTGGTTAGAGGAGAGAAAATTGTAAGTTTCAATGCTCTTCTCAGCCAGTTTGCCATCTAAAATCTTTTTCCACAACATAACAAGTAAATTCCTGTCATTGCAGAAAGGCAGGCCAGCAAGACTTTTTGACCTTGGCAGGAATAATTTGAAGCCAGATCAGTAAGCAAAGAAACTATTCTTGCTTTTAAGTTTGAGCTCTCGTCTATCTGTACTTCTTTTGAACCAGGGAGCTATGCATTTTTGTTATAAAAGTATCTCACGAAGCTCCTCTAGCATCTCCTTTTTTCTTATAATTATTGATTGGCTAGGGATGTACGTATAAACAAACCAAACACAAATGAATTTTGTTATGTTCGTAATTTATCATTTAATTAATAAATTTAAAATATTATTCTAATAGTTTATTAAATTTAATAAATGAACAAAAATTGAATATATTTACTAAGTGTTTTAATATTTTATTTTTTATACTTTCAAGTATAAATGAATCAAATATAAATAAATTTTATTATATTCGTAATTTATTCGTTTAATTAAAAAATTCATAATTATTTATTAAATTTAATAAATGGACTGTTGGTCGAACTCCGTTCCTTGGCACCATAATTAAGATACTACCAATGCTCGCTTTCTATTGGTTTTTTTTTTTTTCGTAGGGTGGATCACACTCCATTTTCTATTTACAATGATACAAATATGGATGCCATGAGAGGTCATCACTCTAAACCAAAGACTGATTCAAACTATTGGCAGTAGAGCTGTGAGAAACAAAGAAAATAATGCAATGCCTGCAAAGTGGACATCATACAAGGTACCCTGCAACTCCAAAACATAATTTCTTGCTATTGGGTGATGTATTGTTTGTTCAGATTATTCAGCAAATGAGATTGAACCTCACAAAATTTTTTTTCCTCTCAGATTCCGCAGAAACCTGTGCCAAGAACCAAAGGGGCTGTTCCAAGTGCTCGTATTGAAGTGTTTGGTGATAAGGAATGTGCAAAAACAGTTAAGTTATATGGATTAATGTCATATAAAATATTAATAATTTTAATATTTGTATTGTGTTTTACACAAAAATTATATATTTGAATTCATGTCGAATAAATATATACATATTTTAAATTCATATATAATTTTGATTAAAAATTTAACTTGATTTATTTTAATATAATTTTTTATATTATTTTTATATCGTATCATCCAATTATATTTTAAATTACATAATAACTTTTGAAGAGGCTTTATAGAACCAGTTGAGAAATTGAAAAATCATCCTTCTTTAATTGATTACTTATGTTGTATTACTTTGTCTAAAATTTCTTACATTTTTACCGGGAAACCAAAGGATAGAACTTTAAGTCTGCAGATGGCCGAACATAAAACTAACAACCACGAGTACCTTTTAGATTACTTGGCTATGGATGACCAAGAAAAGATCGTTAATTAGATTCTCAAAATCTTTGTGCTGGGAAACTGAGTTACTTAAGGAGAATCCATTGCGCAATTGCCCTTCAAATAGTCTGCCTAGATGATTCTACAGCACTAATCTTGCTTCTTGGGGTGCTGTACCATTTCATGTTTGGATCAGCTTTTAACTCCAAAGCCACATCCATGATTTCATGTTGTACTATATTTTTTAGTTCTTTGCTTTTGGTTTCTATCCTTTTTTTTTTCTTACGATTCAATAAATTATTGGAAGAACACTTGTCCTATGTTTGTAGTTAAGTCAGTGAAATCCTTTGTTTGACTCAATACATTGGAAAACTTGTCCTATGTTTCAATTATCAGGCCACGTTCCCCAAACACTTGGAAATCTTACTCATTTGGTAAGATTTCGTCTTGCCTTCACCCAAAATTTATGGCTCAATAGATTACTAGTCAATCTTAAGTGCAAAACAACAATTCAAAAGGCCAAATTCCAAAAAGTTTGAGGAATTGCACAAGCTTATTCAGAGTTAGGCTTCAAGGAAACCAGCTTACAGGGAATATCTCAGAAGCTTTTAGCTAGCTGACAAATTGTACGATGAACTTTCTCCCAATTGGGGGCAATGTCCTATCCTAACGAACAACATTTCTGGGGCCACAACTCTCGTGTTAGGACAGGCCAGTTTTTCAATCATGTTTTATCATTGTATTATCAATACTTTATTAGTGAAAAATAAGTGACGAAATTATTTCATGAAACCCGACGTAGATAAACATATTTAAAACGATCCACAAATATATATATATATTATATATATATATATATACTTCAACTTCAACTACAATTTATCCTCTTGGAGCAAGTAAAATTTCCCAGATTAGAGGATGGAGTACGGAAATCTTTCAGGACCCAAATAGACTAATCTCACCTGGTACTCCAGCAATTTAATATCTACTTAAAGACGCAAATTTCCTCAATCATGAAATGTTATGCGTGTGTGTGTGTTTTTTTTTAATGTTAAAACAACAGCTCAATGAATCTCCTAGGCTAGCCAGACGAACCATAAAGTTCAATGGATCTCTCCAGCACCTTTATCATATAAGTGCTTCAATAATTCAGTGGTCCAATTTAGTACTTCAACCAACATCTTGATAATCAAGCAATTTAAGCCAAAGAGGAAAACCCTGTATAAATGTCAACAGATCTAGAGGAAATTAACTCTAAAATGGTTACACCAACATTTAGGGTTTACTCTTCAGCATGTGTTTTAATTATATCAAGTTTTACATTTCTCCACACTCAGCTATGATGCAGGGTAGTTTTGGCCTGTTGTTGGGTCCAGTAGCCACATTCTCTATCTTCCGAACGACAAGAAGACTATCTCCAAGCACCCTCTAAAATGATCATGGACAAAACAATTCTTTGTCATTTCTAAGAATAATATTTAACTTTAAAAAAAGTGGAAAAATCTGGATATATTCGGCAATAAAGGTTAGAGAACATACCCCAAATACAACATGCTTATTATCAAGCCACTCGCATTTTGCACATGTGATAAAAAACTGCGGTCGATAAACACTGAGATCAATATAACCGAAAAGTTTATAACAGTAAACAAGATGATAGAAGTTCTACCAAGAAGTTCTAGAAATCTTATCCAAGTGAAAACAAAAGATGTGCTTGAAGCATTACAATGGACATACTTCCATCAAATCTCATTCATCTAACTGAGAGTGTGCAGCCAGAGAAATACCTCCATAACATAGATTTGGTACAAATAGCAGCATTCTACTATCTTGTATCCCTTGAATATGAGGAGACACTCGACAGTACTCATGCTGTGTTCATGAAAGGAAACTGGCATTTTTCTACATAAATGCAATTGCATGAGCATGTGAATGTGTATGCATGCAAGAGAGAGAGAGTAAGTTACCTGACAACCATTGGTGTTCGGTCCACTGTTTGCCTGCAATGGAAAAGTTAAAAGAATATGCATTTTTAGTAAATTTTCATTTAACTTATCCATATCCTAGTACCTTTACAGTTTATTTTTCTTCTTCATTCTCCCTCAAGTGTGAAAGTTAAGAAAGGTGTGGAAAAAGGAAGAATGGGGGGAAAGGGTGCACTTATGACCATTTTTATCAACAAAAAAGAGGTGAGGTAGAGAATATCAGGGACTGGAAGAAAGGGGCTATTAAAGTTAAGGCACTCAGCAAGATTATCAAGATATTCTAACAAAATCCTTCCCCAGCAATCACATTCAAAAACCAAGAAATCAGTGTTCTTTATGTACCTTTATGTTAAAGCAGTATTTACCAAAAAAAAAAAAAAATGAAGATATAATTAACAACTTGGATAATGACATTGACGGCACTTAGAAAAAGTGTTTTGCAGCATAAAGCAACTCATTTTGGAGACTTAACAATACACTTGACTCCAGACTCCAGAGTCATACCAAAGGCCAAATTTATCTACTCCGCAGTCATAATAGCAAATTCTTAGAGCAACAAGTTCCTAGTTGCCACAAAAAGCCATGATTCAACAACAGTTGATAGGTAAGGCAAAAAGAAGAGGGTTGACACGGAGAATAACCGTTTGTTTAAGCACAAAATATATTCTGCATGACACTAGTAAACAATGCAGCCCCAACAACTGGCAGATTATACTCCTTAAAATCAATACAGCAGAGTACGTGTTTATGGTCTGATAAAAAGTAGCAAGTACTTACTATGCAGCTTTTTAATTTCAACAGCTCAAATTAGTTTCAAAATGTAACACATTAGCACTAAACCAAACTAAAGGATATGCACACAGCAAAAATTGATATGCCTAAAAAACATGAAATAATCAGGGAGAGATATAAAACCAAAACATTGATTACATCTTTCAGTTTCAAAGGAAAAAAAATATATGTAGCTACTTGACATTATATAGAAAACATCATACCATTGATAGCAGACCAGGACCAGTGTGTTTGGCAATGAAATTTTCATCTTCAAACTTATGCCCATAAATTGAAGTACATCCACTACCATCACCCTGCAAGGCAAGATTTTAATGCAATTATTGTATAACATGAGAGCAATTGGTCTCAATATCTTTATAGTTATCAACAAAGATATACACTATTGTGCCATTTTTATGCTTAACAAATCAAACGAACAGTCTAAGTTATTGATCTATCGTAACTAAGGCAAACACCACTGTCCAACTTTCGGGTAAAAGCTATCCTTAATATGAATATTTCCCACTCATTCAAGTGGGACATTCAATGAAGAACATAACAACAGCAAAGCGACTACTTCAATCATATTTCCCTCAAATTAACAAATCAAAACGTTAGCTTGTAAACTAATCTATCTTTAACAAGAGTGTCACTCAAAACCCTTATTCCCAACTACATAAAGAATTCACCATCTAAAGGAAATCTCAAGAAACTAATTCTGGGGTACTCACTACTAATATGACTGAGCAGAGTAGTCAAGATTATAAATGCAAAAACAAATCTCATATAGTAAACTACCAACCTTGATAAAATCTCCAGCTTGAATCATAAAATCTTTAATAACCCTATGAAATTGGCATCCCTTGTAACCAACAGGCAACCCTGCTTTTCTGATATTCAATCCAATTTAAAAAAAACGGGTAAGTAGAAATTACTCACGTAGATGCAAATAACTAAAATTTTGAAGATAAAAAAACCTGTATTCGCCGGTGCATAGCTGCCTGTATGATGGGAAAAAATCAAAATTAAATTAGAAATCACAAAAAGTGAAAAATAACCATACAATAAGAACAAGACAGGGAGTGGTAGGACCTGAAATTTTCGGCGGTTTTAGGGGCAATATCAGCGAAGAGTTCCATTTTGATACGACCGGCTGGGATGGAACCGATGGTTATATCGAAAAATACGATTGGGTTTTTGAGATTTGGCGGCCTAACGTGCCACTCCACTCCTCCACCGCCGCCTCCTCCTCCAGAAGCCATCGCCGCCGCACGTCTCTCCTTTTTGCTCTCACTCACTGCAAGAACTTGGGTTCTCTAGGTTTTGGTTTGCAAGCTTTTTGTCACTGCAGTGTTGTCGGAATTTGGTTCGTTTTATAGGTGACACTAAATAAATTTTGGCCAAAATATTATCATGTCCCTACAGTTTTTGAAAATTGTCAAATAAACCTTTACGTGTTTATTGTATCTACTTGAAACCTTAAAGTTTCATTTCTTTTAATTAAACTTTTTTATTTTGTATAAAAACCGAAAAAATCAATTACCCCTTTTTCAATTAAATTGTCACATATATTTTGTTTAATACTTTAAACTTTGATCTTCTATTATTTTATATTTATTATTGATAAAAATATAAAAAATATGTTTTTAAAATTTGAATGAAATAGTTTCTAGATATATGATTTATAAAATTTAATTAATTAAAATATTTAAAATAATAACAGTTAAAATTAAAAATTTTGATAAAAAATTAATTGTGACAAATGAATTGGGACATAATCTTTATTTTCTAAATCAATGTCCACAAGAAAAAAAAATGAAAATCCTTAATAAGTTGACATTTACTTGACATGTATCATAGGCTTATTAACGACATGCCACATCAAAATTTTTCGAACCATTTTTTTTGTCATGTGTGCTATATAAATTTTGACACAATAGATGCTGACATGATAAAAATAATGAATTTTAATCATTTTCATTTAAATAAGGGCTAAATAAACAAATATAATATTTAAAGATTTAGTTGGATCTAACATATATATATATATATTTGCATTTCTTTTGGTATGATAATACAAAATGACATCATTGTTGTAAATTTTATTTGTATTGCCTACAAGAAAAAAAAATCCACTTCTTCCCTGATCTCACCATTTTTTTTTCAGATTTTCTAATATAAAAGTTTCCAAAATAATTATAAAAAAAATCTCATAACCTTTATGTTCTTGATATTGTGATGTCATTAATTTCATAAAAATATCATTATATAAGAATTTAAGTGGCTCAAAATAATGTTTATAGTTCAATTACGATCCACTAGGAAACGTGAGTGTTAAATGAGCAAGAATAATTAAAAGTCTTGAATTTTTTATTCATAAATAAGGGCTAAAATATTATAAATAGTCATGGTCATTTATAGGCATGACATAATTAATTCAAAGGCCTCTGAAATATTACAAATAACAAAGACAAACTAACCACACATACATTAGATAGTAGCTAGAGCTAGTAATGCTGACTGGTTGGCTGTTAAATTAATTATTTAGTATTATTAGTAGTAGTCCGATAGCTACTACTATATTTTATTTTTACGGCCTTACCACCGCAGTTTCCTCAGATATAGGCATCGAGCAGCAAGCAAAGGCCGCTTAAGAAGCGGGCCTGAGTGTTGCCTTCAATGTTGGCGTAGGACTGGTTTGATCAATGACAGCCTCAGACAAGTATCCGAATTTATTATTGTTGTTGCTTTGGTTCCTAGATTTGCCAAGACTGACTTTGATTTGAGACCAATCAATAGCTTTGTTGCCTTCAATGATCAGTATAGACCTGCACTTGATAAATAATTAATTATTTAATTATTTCAAAGCTCTAAATAGTGTGATTTGGTTTTTTTTTTTTTTTTGAAAAATGTAAAGTAATTCAGTCCAAATTCTAATAGTGTATTACTACAACATATGAATGAATTCGAAATAAAATAAAAATTGAGTTAATTTTGAGATACCAATTGAAATTATGAAATTAATATACTATCGAAATTAAGATCAATACCTTGTTAGGCTCATTTTCAACATTGCTCCAAGCAATAATCCACTTAAGCTTATTGTCTTTGAGAAGATATGCAACACCTCCGATGGAACCTTTTGAATCGGTATTGTGCTTAAACTCACCGGCTTGTTGATCTTGAATCGGTCTTGGGGGATCTCTATTGCCATGCCAATAGTTTTGGTTGTCCAACGTTACATATTGATTTTTACCAGCATGATTCTGCAGTTGACACTCTGTGTACACTGGAATAGTTGAGCTAGACATTTTTGGTTTAACCTACAAATTTCTAAAACTGTAGCTATTGGGTTTGGTTTTGCTTTTTGCTTGGTGGTCAGTTGCATATATCGACACATACTTATATACTGGTTTGCAGCATAAGAAGACAAAGCCGGTTGGTACAATTATAATATTTATATACTGGTTTGCAGCATAAAAAGATAAAACTGGTTGGTACAACTAAAAGTATACATTTTTTTTTCTATCAATTCATGTTTCATTTCCATTTTCAAGTATAGCCAAAGATCCGTGTGAAAATTGCGTGGAAGTAGGTATGCAATCTTTTGCGAAGGCTGAGGGGTTGGGCATTCAATGCAATCAATTACTTGATGCAACTTCCTTAATTTCCTGTGATCTTTTATTTTTCATTCAATTTTATGATCATAGATGTACTCAAGTCTCATATACGAGGTTTGGGATAGCTCTAAACTTTTTACATTGCACTTATTAGGGTTATACTAATACATGTTATTTAGATGGCAGAAAACACATGTTATTCTTGAACATTTAACAATTGCACTAAACTTTTGCTATATTCATTTTTTTCTCATAATTATTTTTAACCTTTTTCGCATGAAAAAAACCATACAATGTCATTTTAATTAAATAAATTTAAATTTAAATATAAGATATACTAAAATCATGGTACAAGAAAATATATTTTTGGTGCTAAAAAATTTCATTGTTAAAGTTTGGTTTCAATCGCTAAATTCCTTTACTAAAACACGTTATTAATTGAATTTTCAATGAAATATTTTCATCCCAAAATTGAAGTTATTACAAGTATTCCACTGAAAAAAGAAATAAAATACTTCAGAAGTTTTCGTTGGGAATTTGTTAAATTCTGTCACTAAAATTTTATCAAACATAAGTTATTTTTTTGATAAAAGTTTTTGTGGTGGAAAATTTTGTCGCTAATACTTTATTATCCGTCATAAAATCTTCTAGCTACATAAGGTTTCATGTGAGAAAAAAGATCAATCCCGGAGAGAATTGATCCTTTTGCACCAAAATATAAGAAATACTAAATATAATAACTAAATTATTTATTTTATTGATAAAAATTATAAAATATATAACTTAAAAAGTAACTCGAATCATTACTTATAAATAATGATCTAAAAGCATCACCGCATATATTAATACAACAGTAAAATTACTTACAAGACATGTTTGTTTGTAGTGTCAAAACTTATTTTAATCTATGTAAAAATCAAATAGAGTCAATGAAATTGGGAATGTGAAAAAGAGAGTATACACATCAAAAGTTCTATTCACCCATTAATTCTTGTGTTAATTAAATGTCATTTATGGATGATATCCTACTCCATTAAAATTGCAACTTCATTATCCATATAAATGGGTAAAATTACATTGATATTCTTATAACAATCAAGCTTTTGTCTTTTTCCAAGTTTATTGCATTACAACCAAATAATGTCATTTTCAACATAACTATCGGTATTTATGGTGAACAGTGTGTTTAGCGGTGTGGTGGATGTTGTTTTTTAGTAGCAATTATCCTTATATATTTAATTTCAATTGATTGAGATTGAGTCAATAAGTGCAACGTAAATTGTTGGAAAGATCTATTACTTAACTTTGTAACTCATTTTATAGCTTGTTATTTGAAGTTTTCTAAAAGGAGATATGAATGATTTATTGCAAATAGGCTAACTGGTTAAATTTCTCCATGTTGTGTGATTTTGGGATTTAAATTATATTGATTGGCAATGAATTAGCAGACTCGCCATACATGGTTGGAATCTTAATTATCCAACACATTTTATAGCTTATAATTATTTGAACATTCTTACATAAAGTTACGTTTAGAACTTTTATGTTTAGAAGTTTTAAAACTTTTTCTTAGTGTGGTAAGATATTTATAATAAATGTCATGCTAAATGATACAAACTTTACTATTCCTCTCACCTGTTTACTTTAAATTTTAATTATTTTTATTTTAAAATGCCTATTCTTTTATGTTGTTTTTTAGTAGCAATTATCCTTATATATTTATAGGAAAAATTATTAATTTAAATTTTATATTGTCAAGTTAATTATTATGTTATAATAAAGCCTTTTTACATTAGTTCTCACCTTCCATTACAATGAAAATTATCTTAATTTTATCATAGGTGTTATGATATTTTAACCTATTTTACTTAAAATAATATGAATTTTAAAATTCATCTTATCTATTTATGTTAATATTTGTAATTAATTTTTTTATTTTAATCATAAATTATTTTTTGTTGCTTGTAATCTTAAAAGTTTGTTTGAATTATTATCCTTGAAAAATTATTAATTTAAAATTTAATCTACATAAAAATAAAATAAAATCAATGAAATTGTGAATGTGATAAACATAATATACACATTAGAATTTCTATTCTCCCCTTAATTCTTGTGTTAATTAATAAATGTCGTTTATGGTCGATTTCCTACTACATTAAAACTTGCAAGTCCAATGTTCGTATAAACGGGTACAATGACGTTGATATCCCGATAACTATCAAGCTTTTGTCTTTTTTCCAGTTTATTGCACCAAAACCAAATAATATGTAACTTAACTAGCAGCATTTATGGTGACTAATATGTTTAGCGGTGGGTGTTTTAATTTATTTTGAAGAGTGAACGATTCTTTAAACAAAAAAAAAAAAAGTAAATGATACCACCAAATTTTAACCAACCGAAAACACACACACACACACACACATATATATATATATATATATATTTATTTATATATATATATATTTATTTATTTATTGACCTTAAAATATGAAAAATGATATAACAGGTTAACATGGAAACTAAAAAAATATAATTATTCATTTATCAAATAAAAATATTTTTATAGATTACATATTTTGTACTTATTTTTATTTTATTTTATTTTTGTAAAAAATGTTAAAATAAAAAATCAAACGTAATTGTATGTCATCCTGTTTTAATAAATGATATTTTGTTATATTTTCCTTGTTTACTAATGACATTATGTTATAATAATATATTTCTTTTTATTAATTTTATTTTATTTTAAAATAAATTTGTTAATAATTTTATTTTATTTTAAAACATTATTTCTTTTTTTTTTTTATCCTTTTTTAGCCTTGAAAATATTTTAAACATTGTTCTTATATATTTACATGTAAAATAAGAAGTTATTAAATTTTATATTGCCAAATTAGTTATTACATCATGATAATATCTTTTTATATTTGTTTTTACTTTACATTATGTTTAAAAATTTAAAACCTTTTCTTAATATGATATGACATTTATAACAAAATTTATATCAAATAATACAAAATTTATAATTACTTACACCTGTTGATAAAAATTATAAAATATGCAACTTGGAGAGCAACTGAAACTACTACTTATCGAGAGTGATCTAAAGGCATCATCGCATATATGATATACAAAAGTTTATGTCATTTATGGTTGATATCCTACTCAATTAAAATTGCAACTTCAATATCAATATAAATGGGTAAAATTACATTGATATCCTTATAACAATCTCGCTTTTGTTTTGTTTTTTTCAAGTTTATTGCATTAAAACCAAATAATGTCATTTTCAACATGACTATCAGTACTTACGGTGAGCAATGTACTTAGCGTGTGGTGGATGCTGTTTTTTAGTAGCAATTATCTTTATATATTTATAGGAAAAATTATTAATTTAAATTTTATATTGTCAAGTTAATTATTATGTTATAATAAAGTCTTTTTACATTAATTCTAACCTTCCATTACATTTAAAATTATTATAACTTTATCATAGATGCTACAACACTTCTAACCTATTTTACTCAAAATAATATGAAATTTTCAATTCATTTCATCTATTTACAATAACATTTTTAATTAATTTTTTTGTTTTAAATATAAATTATTTTATGTTGTTTTTTAGTTGTAAAAGTTTTTTCAGTTATTATCAAGAAAAATTATTAATTTAAATTTTAATCTAAGTAAAAATCAAATAGAGCCAATGAAATTGAGATGTGATAAAGAGAGTATACACATTAGAAGCCATATTCACCTCATAATTCTTATGTTAATTAATAAATGTCATTTATGGTTGATCTACTACATTAAAACTTGCAAGTTCGATATCCATATGAAAGGACAAAATGACATTGATATCCCTATAACTATCAAGCTTTTGTCTTTTTTCAAGTTTATTGCATCAAAACCAAATAATGTCATTTTTCAATAACTTGACCAATTTTTCAATATTTAACATGACTAGCATTGTTTTATGGTGAACATGTGTTTGGCAGATGGTGTTTTAATTTATTTTGAAAAGTAAATGATTCTTTAAACTAAAAAATAAAAAGAGTAAATGATTCCACAAAATTTTAACCAACCGACCAAAAATACACATATAGTTATCAACCTTTAAATATGAAAAATGATATAACAAGTTAACAAGTAAACTAAAAAAAAATAAATATGGTTTTACTTATTTTATTCATCTATCAAATAAAAATAATATTATAGATTACATATTTTTTACTTATTTTTATCTAATTTTATAAAAAACCTATTTATGTCAAGTTGACTCCAAGGGGTAAAATCCTGAAATTACAGGAGAGAGAATGATAGCGATTAATAACAAAGGCTAATGGTCATCCTAGTGTTTGTGCTCCGATACTCAAGTCAAAGATCGATCAAGATAGGAAATGGGAAAGAGATAGTAAGAAAAAAAGAAAAAAGCAAGATGAGAAAATGGTACTTGGATAGTGTTATTTATTCCTATAAGATGGAGGTTTTGGACAGCTTAAGTTGGCTGAGGTTAGCCTTATAGTTAGAAATAACCTGATAGGCCTGAGTTGAGTTAGATGTTGATTATCCATTTAGGGTGTGACAAGTTAGCGCTTAGGGAAGTCTAGCCTAGAGATTGATGAAGTGGCTGAGCTTATATGGACTTGCGAATTCAAGTTGGCTTGACACTTTAGCTTAGTCCATAAGTTTAAAATGTCCGTGACTTACTGACCAGTTATATATATATAGGTAAAAGTATAGACCTCTTTTAATATGTTATTCAAAATTGATC